TCGAAATCTCGAAATCTCGAAATCTCGAAATTTCGATATCTTGCAATTTCACAATCTTGAAATCTCGATATCTCGACATCTTGCAATCTCGAAATTTCGATACCTCGATATCTTGCAATCTCACAATCTTAAAATCTCGAAACCTTGAAATCTTGAAATCTCGAAATTTCGATATCTTGCAATCTCACAACCTTGAAATCTCGAAATCTCGAAATCTCGATATCTCGATATCTTGCAATCTCACAATCTTGAAATCTCGAAATCTCGAAATTTCGATATCTCGATATCTTGCAATCTCACAATCTTGAAATCTCGAAATCACAACAAATAATTAATGTAAGTTAAAAATTTATTACTAAACTCGTCCGTCAGTTATTCCAAAGTCCGCGTTATACTGTAAAATATTATAATATATTCAAGAATTTCATTGATATTATAATGTATTCAAGGATTTCACTATAACGACCTACATCGTGGTCGTTAACATTGTTCAACTGCTACAAATGCAAGAAATTTGTTAACGACCTTGATGGTGACCTTGAACATTGAATATATGCGCAATCGATAACTGTAGGTAACAAACATGCGCAACAAAGTTCATACAGGTAAGTACGCTATAATTAAGTGTAATAACTTTACTACGCATGCTTATTATGTACAAATATATTCACTCCATAAATTTTATACTTGATAGCTTTGATACATAACAAAAATTATTCAACTCGTGGTATTAATATTCTGTGCATAAAAAATGACGTACTTAATATAACATCAACCTCAGAATTTTGTTAAAATAAAAACTGTTCCCAGAATAAGTTACATAAAACTATAATATTCATAAGTTTATTTATATAAAAGAACAGCTGTAATTAAAATTGAAAACCCGCTTTGACAAGTACGGTAAAACTCTCCCTTAATAAAAATTTTCTATTAAAGAAAAAAATAAAAAAATTTTAATCGCGTAAACTTTAAACGAGTCAAACAAGTTTATACGTCAAATTTTTGATATATAAATAGGAAAATTGGAGGCTGAATGAAAAAGTAACCTGTGATCAGTGTCGAAACGTGTTTCTCCAGCACGGTAAATCGAACGTATGGCTTACACAAAAGCCGAGCAAAAAAAGAATCGGAAGTCAAGGCAGCCTTTCAGTCCACGTACAAGGGACTTCCTCTTTAACTGTCGAGAGAAATGGTAGAGTAGACTTTCAATTATAAGAGCACTATCAATTATCTCGTTTGTCCAACAAGCTTACGTCTCACTGCTCACGAATACCCTGACCTACGAATGCTCAAACGACAGGGCGATGAAATTTAAAAGCAACCTTCCCATTTTACCTTTCTCTTCAATTATTGAACATTCATCGAAAAACTTCTGCCTTCGAAGCGGGATTAATACTCGGATAACGTGGTGGATTACGAGCATTTTCGTATGCAATTAATTCTCGTCGTGAGAAAATTTTGGAATTTTTGTGGCTGAGGTTTTGGTGATTTGGAAATGTGGGAAATTGAGGATTTTGGAGTTTGAAGATTTGGGAATTTGAGGATTTCAAAATTTGGAAATTTGGAAAGTTGAGAGTTTAGGGATTTGAGAATTTAGGGACTTGAGAGTTTAGAGTTTTGAGAGTTTAGGGATTTGAGAGTTTAGAGATTTGAGAGTTTAGGGATTTGATAGTTTAGAGATTTGAGATTTTAGGGATTTGAGAATTTAGGAATTTTAGAGTTTAGGGATTCGAGAGTTTAGGGATTTGAGAGTTTAAGGATTTGAGAATTTAGGGATTTGAGAGTTTAGAGATTTGAGAGTTTAGAAATTTGAGAGTGTAGGGATTTGAGAGTTTAAGGATTTGAGAATTTAGGGATTTGAGAGTTTGGAGATTCGAGAGGT